CATGAGGCCAGCAAACATATGAAAAAATGCTCATCATCACTGGTTATTAGAGAAGTGAAAATCAAAACTACATTGAGATACCACCTCACACCAGTTAGAATGGCGATCATTAAAAAATCTGGAGACAACAGATGCTGGAGAGGATGTGGAGAAATAGGAACACTTTTACACTGCTGGTGGGAGTGTAAATTAGTTCAACCATTGTGGAAGACAGTGTGGTGATTCCTCAAGGACCTAAAAATAGAAATTGCATTTGACCCAGCAATCCCATTACTGGGTATATACCCAAAGGATTATAAACTGTTCTATTATAAGGACACAGGCACACGAATGCTCATTGTAGCACTGTTTCCAGTAGCAAAGACTTGGAACCAACCCAAATGCCTATCGATGATAGACTGGACAGGGAAAATGTGGCACATATACACCATGGAATACTATGCAGCCATACAAAACGATGAGTTCGTATTCTTTGTAGGGACATGGATGAATATAGAAACCATCACTCTCAGCAAACTGACACAAGAACAGAAAATCAAACACCGCATGTTCTCACTCATAGGCGGGTGTTGAACAATGAGAACACATGGACACAGGGAGGGGAGCATCACACACTGGGGTTTGTCAAAAGGAAACAGGGGAGGGACAGCAGGGGGTGGGGAGTTGGGGAGAGATAGCATGGGGAGAAATCCCAGATATAGGTGAAGGGGAAGAAGGCAGCAAATCACACTGCCACGTGTGTACCTAGGCAACAATCCTGCCTGTTCTTCACATGTACCCCAAAACCGAAAATGCAACAAAAATTAAAAAAAGATAAAATAATAAAATAAATATAAAAATAAAAAACCAGGTCTGGTACTAAAGGGGACGGTGCAGGAGTAAGGTGCAGGGTCCTGTGTGACCTCGTGGAGTAGGGCTGCTTCCCAACTTCCCTGCTCATGGCAGGATCACTATGTGTGTAAGAAAAATGTTTCCATTCTTTTAAGTACTATATTTTGGAGACTTTGTTGGTAAATAATATAAACCACTGATACCTGGGGATGGATGCTGCCATAGAATGACCTTAAATACATAGCATCATCTAAGCAGTCAGGGATGGGCAATAAGAACAGATATTGTGGCCTAGAAAACCGGTGAGCCTTGTGGAAGGCAGACCACTGTCCCTTCTTTTCCCCTAGAGAAAGTTAATGTCTCTCTCAACTATGTTCCCCAAGACACATGAATGACTTTGGATGCCTAATTATTTCTGTGTGTTTCCACAGAACATCTACTGTATGGAGCTGTTTGTCCCCAGCATCTGACAGGATGTCAGGCCCAGATATACGGGTTGGATGAAGAAGTGAATAAATGCCCAATGAACCAATGAATGGTCAGGAATTGTTTTTTGAGACTTCACTAGATAGGATTGGCTATAAACACATGGCATCTCTAGAGAGTGTGAGAACTTTTCCTTCCCTCTAAGTGAAGAGATTCAGGTTAGTTATTCCTCAAGGTAAATCACCGGTGAGCCAGGGCGTCAAGACACACTGGAAATGACCTGTAATAAATTCTAACCTTTGCTTATTCACAATGTCCCTGCTGGCCAAGGGAGCGTTTCCTTTATTTGCTGCCTCAGATTTATTTCTATGAAAAGAGTCATAATCAAACTCCAGGAGAATGGTAAATTGCTATTGAGATGATATACAGGATACAGAAACATAAAAATTAACCTTTGTTGGACCCCAAAATATTTTTTATAATAGATCTATGTTTATCGTAGAATGTAAGAGATCCCAATGTCTTAGTCTTCCTGTTCTTGTAATGCCTATGCTATGAGAACAGAAGGAATACATTATTCAGTAATTATAGAACAAATAACTGGAGGATTGAATTCTGTATCACATTCGGTTCTGTTAAAACAATGAAGCTGGGCATGGTGGCTCACACCTGTAATCCTGGGAGGCAGAGGCAGGAGGATCCCTTGAGTACAGAAGTTCGAAACCAGTCTGGGCAACACGGTGAGACAGTGTCTCTATTTAAAGAACTTTAAAAATTAGCCAGGTGTGGTGGTCACCTCTGTGGTCCCAGCTACTCGGGAGGATTGCTTGAGCCCTGGAGGTTGAGGCTGCAGTGAGCTGCAAAAAACAATGATAACATACAGAAATCAAAACAAAAGAAAATTCATCTATAATCCTATCATCTTACAGTGTTTAAATATTTTTTTTTCAAGACAGGGTTTTGCTCTATCGTCCAAGCTGGAGTGCAGGGGTGCAATCATGGCTCACCGCAGCCTCAGCCTCCTGGGCTCAAATGATCCTCCTGCCTCAGTTTCCCAAGCATCTGGGACTACAGGCTGTTACCCCCATCCCAGCTAATTTTTGGATTTTTTGCAGAGATGAAGTCTCATTACATCGTGCAGGCTGGTCTTGAGCTCCTGGCTTCAAGCAATCCTCCAGTCTTGACCTCACAAAGTGCTGGGATTACAGGCATGAACTACTGCACCTGGCCTGTTTTAATTTTTATATGTTCTGTTTTACACTTTATATGTTTGTCTGTATTTTTCAAACACATGATGAAAAGAACTCATGCACACAAAACACGCACAGACAGGTTTTATGGGTATGCACGCTAGGCCAGCCTGGGGGTAGATGTCAGGTCACACTAGCAGTAATCAGATAGTATTTCTCTGATTCTAGCCCTACTCATTCTGCAGAAATTCCAGTCGTTCTCACATCCTTCCTAACCAGTTCTTGAATTCTCAGGAACTAATCTCCCAGCTATCATGTGTCATCTCCAATTTTCCTCTCCTTTTAAGCATCTGCCTTTCAGAATGTCTCTTTTTTTTTCCTCAGTGACGGGGTCCCCTACTTAGGCGCAGGCGGATAAGCGGAGCCAGCATGCCAGTGGGCTGGAGCTGGGTTTGTAGCAAAACTTAAGGGACCCCACGGAGACCCTTCGAGAAATCTCGTCTCAGGCCGGGCGCGGTGGCTCAAGCCTGTAATCCTAGCACTTTGGGAGGCCGAGGCGGGTGGATCACGAGGTCAAGAGATCGAGACCATCCTGGTCAACATGTTGAAACCCCGTCTCTACTCAAAATACAAAAAAAAATTAGCTGGGCATGGTGGCGCGTGCCTGTAATCCCAGCTACTCAGGAGGCTGAGGCAGGAGAATTGCCTGAACCCAGGAGGCGGAGGTTGCGGTGAGCCGAGATCGCGCCATTGCACTCCAGCCTGGGTAACAAGAGTGAAACTGCTTTTCTCTCTCTCAAAAAAAGAGAGAGAGAGAGAGAAATCTCGTCTCCACCAAGAGCTGAAGCTGATCGCCGAGTATGGGCTCCGGAACAAACGTGAGGTCTGGAGGGTCAGATTTACCCTGGCCAAGATGGCAAGGCGCGCTGGATGAGGGCAAGATGAAGCTGGATGACATCCTGGGCCTGAAGGTTGAGCATTTCTGAGACGCCTGCAGACCCCGGTCTTCAAGCTGGGCTCGGAGTCCATCCACCACGCTCGCGTGCTGATCCGCCAGCGCCGCATCAGGGTCCGCAAGCGGGTGGTGAGCACCCCGTCCTTCACTGTCTGCCTGGATTCCCAGAAGCACCTCGACTTCCCTCCGCCCTCCCTCCGGGGGTGCCCGCCCGCCCGGGCCGCGTGAAGAGGAAGAATGCCAAGAAGGGCCAGGGCGGGGCTGGAGCTGGGGATGACGGGGAGGAGGATTAAGCCCACCGGTCCCCCTCTTGGGCTCGTGGATTGCCGAGTTTTCCTGCTGAATAAACAGGATTAGCCCTTAAATAAAAAATAAAAATTAAAATTTAAAAAAAAAAAAAAAAAAAAGGAATGTCTCCAGTTGCTGGTGCTGCTGCTGGGTTCCCCTCTTCCGTTTTCCCTCTCAGCAGCCCGCGAAGACTGGCTCGGCTCCTTGGTTACCTCCTTGCACTCCGTCAGCAAGTCCACGGTGTTAGGGTCAGGGACACGGGCTATCGCGCAGTGCAAACCTGGAGGTCTTCGTGGAGCCGTGCTTGTGGTTTTCACAGGCTTTTAATTGCAGGCCAAACTCGTTTGAGCATCTGTGAGTCCCCGGTTTGAGGGAGAGCGAATTAAATGGCTGACAATCTTTTTAGGATTACCTGTTTCTTTCTTGGCTGACTCTGTTCCCAAGCTGAGCTGATGATACTTAATTCTCTTCTTATAATGAATTTGTATTCAGTAGGTTCCTCAGTACCACATGCAAAGGTATGCCAGGCCCACGTTTAAAGACTTGCATGAACACAAGTTGAGGCGTCTGGGCATCCTAACACAATAGTGTCGATAAAATTCTGGGTTTTGCTTTTTTCATTTCACATTGTGAGTGTGTTTGCAGGTTACTAGAGAGTTCCAATAATTATTATGTAAGTGGTTATATAAATACTATACAGCGTGGACATGCCGTAATTTACCTAATTGTTCTCTTAATTTGGACATTGATGTTATCACTGACTTTTCTCTAGTTAAATAATGTGAGTTGAGCAAGGACAAAGTAGGTGGTCTTGATTGTGTGTTTTACTTTGGACACATATGTATTAGTTAAGGAAATGATTGCTTCTATAACCCCCCATATTTCAGGAGCACAAAACTCTAACCATTTATCTCTCAGCAATATGCCAATCCAGTGTGGGATTCCTTTGTCAGCAATGTTGGGGAGAGTCTGCCCCACACAATCATTAAGAGACCCAGGGAATAGGGGCACCACCATCATTAGCACATGATTTTCATCGTCTCTCTGCGCACCAAAATCAGCCGGCAGATGAGTAGGAGAGACAGGTTTGTGTGAGGGTTTTTTTTTAGATTAAATTCAACCATTTTAATGGTCTAGTTTGATGAACTTTTGCTAATTGTGTATAGCTGTATAACCACCATGAAAAGAAAAATATAGACTTTCTAACATCCTAAAAATTTCCTGTTGCCCTTTTACATCTGATCCCCTCTTACAAACCCCTAACCCCAGGCAACTTTCTGTCAATACAAATGAATTGTGCCTGTTCTCTAATCTCATGTGAATGGAACACAAGATGTATTACACTGTGTTATGCTTCCTTTGTTCAGCGTAATCCACGTTGATTACCGTATTAGTTCTTCATTGATTTTTATTGCTGTGTAGTATTTCATCGTATGGATATGTAATCGTTTGTTTGTTTTTGCAATTTTATAAGTTTATTTGATGTATGTGACGATCAGCGATTAGTTCTCATCCACATTGACTGTCTGTAGATTTTTGAAAGTGGTAACAGGTACATAGGTAACCAAAGTATAGAGCTTATTTCGTGAGTCTTCATCCTCATTACGTTTACTGGACAACGGCACAGGATTCGGTGTGGGACATTCCTTATTACTCTGGCCGACCAGCTTTGCTGAGCCTGGCATCAATGTGCACATGTGGAGTTCCCATCTCCTTCAGAGCAAATTTCCGAATCTCTTTGAGTCCCCGAGGAGCACCCATCTTGAAGCCCACTCCACGGAAGCGCTTGTGAATCTTGACGGTGTATTCTCGGGTCGTCACCTCGTTGATGGCAGAACGGCCCTTTTTCTCACCACCCTTCTTTGCGGGAGCCATTCTGTCGGGTCCGAGTTGGAAAGGAACACAATCATTTGTTTATCACTGGGTTTTGGTGCTTGGATAAGCCCCAGTTATTAGCTATTACGAGTAATGGTGCTATTACTTGTATATATGCCCTTTTATATACACATATTTTAATATGTCTCAGGAGATGACTGGGTCCTATGGCAAGTGTATGTTTAACTTCTTAAGACACTGCCCTACGGTTTACCAAAGCTGCGGAACCGTCTCGCACTGTCAACAGAAATCACTGGGAGTTCTAGTTGTTCCAAATTTTGTCAATGCTTGGAATTGTCAGTGTTGTTAATTTTAGCCATTTCAGTGGATGTGTAGTAGAATCTCATTTCTCATTTGCATGATCCTAACTGGTAAGGTAAGCATCTTTTCACAGGCTTATTGGCTATTTGTGTATTTTCTTCTGTGACATATCTATTCAAATATTTTGCCCATTTGAAAAATAGGGTTGTAAGAGTTCTTTAAATATTCTGGATACAAGCAAAGAGTATATTCTTCTCTATTTCTTTTTAAAGCAAAATAAAATTTGATTCACTTTTAAGGAATATTTACTTGGAGAAATTTACATGACATTAAAGAAACACCAAGCCCAGAAGCCTACTGGGGCTGGAATCCATGCACTATTTCTTTTGTGATTTTCAGAGCTGCTTTAGGAAATTGTTCTTGAGTTGGCTGGAGGCGAAGTGACGAGTTATTGCTTTTTGCCTTATGTCCAGATTTGATAGGTGTTCATGAAAGAGTTGGTCTTGAAGAATCTTACTGTATCACTACAGGAAATGTAAACTATGTTAGGGGTTTTAAGAGCCGGGACTAGAACTGGCTCGCATCAGTTCTGCTTACATCCTATTGGCTAGAATTTAGTCATGTGACAACACCTAACTCCAAGGAAGGCTGGGAAATGTAGTCTCACCGTGCCCACAGGCTAGTGTGCCCTGCAGAAGAACAGGGTTGGTGATCAGCCAGCACTGTCTGCTAGAAGGAACATAGCAGGGCCTGGAAGGCCCTAGAAAGAATATGGAGTGGCAGAAGTTTTAGCCCAGGGACATGGTAACTATTTCTAGATCCCTTTTGTAATAAGCAGTCATGGTATACCTATCACATTCCAGATATTGAGCTGTAATATCTGAGGCTATCACTTACTGAACACTTACTATGTGTCAAATATATGTTGACTCTGTAAATGTTTACTGACTGTTGAATGGACCTGATTTCTCGGAGTGGCCTGGGGAAGACTGCGCGCCATCTGATGGTGTGTTTGATGACGACTTCCCATCTTGCCAGCCCAGCATTAGCAGGGTTGTCAGTAACGAGGCTGCTCACAAAGCACTGCCAGGTCCCCTGAGGGAAGGGGTCACTGGAGAAACAGTAAAATTGCTGAACTCCAAACTCCAGCAAACCAGTCTTTCGCCTCTCTGGGTGATTATTGCTGGGCTCTAGGGTTTGGGTAAGATGCTAACTTGCAAGCTCTCTCTTTGTCTCTGCTATGCCTCTACACCAAACTCATGACTATTTACAGCGTTCCATTCCAAAACTGTTCACAAATCAATGCTTCTAATTTTTTAGTGAATTTTCTGCTTCCCTACATGGTGCTGCCAGATTTATTGGTAATCGTTCTTCGAGTACTAAGTGGATTGAAAACGCTGCCTGTTACCATTTCTCTGTTGAAAGCAGCTAGAAACAAAACAAACATAATAATAACAGTCAGCACTGTTGGGCACCGTTGCTCGCAAAGTGCATCCACGTACATTATTCTGTTTGGTCTACCCCCTCACACGATTCATTTGGATGACCAGTGGTAGAGCTATTTCACTTGTTCACATGCTTATTAGAGTAACACGTTCAAAGTTAATTGAAGTTCCTCCCCATTCTACTCTTGCTACAAAGACAATTGACATTGAAATGGTCAAAAGACATTCAGTAGGGATGGCCAGTAAGAGAAGTAAAAGGACCACACAATACAAACAGGATAAAAGGCTGCTTAGTATATTATAAGGGAATGGCTATAAACATATCCACACCTGGGATCTTTCTCACGTATCATAGATAAGACCTCACCACCTTGTTGTGCGACCTGTTTCTTCATTGCTGCATTTCTATTTTTCCTGACTGTGCATCCTCCTCTGCACAGCAGCTCCTGACCTGGCTCATGTCCAGTCTCCTGTGTCAAGACTGATCACTTCTCCCTTAGAACCGATACGCGGAAATTACTAATCTTATTGCAGTTTCCTTGATATGTTATGGTTTGTCACGTATTGACCCTTTACTTACTAGATTGCTCTAGCGGTCCCTGACATTGGAAGCTTCCTCAGCCCAGCCCTGCCTCCCAGCCAGACAATCTGATTTCTGTTAGAGCATCTCAGGAGCACCCTCTTCCGAAGTCCTTTTGACTTTCTTTTGTGGTAGTGTTGTTGATTTACATGACTACTTTCTTTTGTGACAGTGTTGTTGATTTACATGACTACTTTCTTTTGTGGTAGTGTTGTTGATTTACATGACTACTTTCTTTTGTGACGGTGTTGTTGATTTACGTGACTACTTTCTTTTGTGACGGTGTTGTTGATTTACGTGACTACTTTCTTTTGTGGCGGTGTTGTTGATTTACGTGACTACTTTCTTTTGTGGCGGTGTTGTTGATTTACGTGACTACTTTCTTTTGTGGTAGTGTTGTTGATTTACGTGACTACTTTCTTTTGTGGTGGTGTTGTTGATTTACGTGACTACTTTCTTTTGTGACGGTGTTGTTGATTTACGTGACTACTTTCTTTTGTGGCAGTGTTGTTGATTTACGTGACTACTTTCTTTTGTGGCGGTGTTGTTGATTTACGTGACTACTTTCTTTTGTGACAGTGTTGTTGATTTACGTGACTACTTTCTTTTGTGGTAGTGTTGTTGATTTACGTGACTACTTTCTTTTGTGGTAGTGTTGTTGATTTACGTGACTACTTTCTTTTGTGACGGTGTTGTTGATTTACGTGACTACTTTCTTTTGTGACGGTGTTGTTGATTTACGTGACTATTTTCTTTTGTGGCGGTGTTGTTGATTTACGTGACTACTTTCTTTTGTGGCGGTGTTGTTGATTTACGTGACTACTTTCTTTTGTGACGGTGTTGTTGATTTACGTGACTACTTTCTTTTGTGACGGTGTTGTTGATTTACGTGACTACTTTCTTTTGTGGTAGTGTTGTTGATTTACGTGACTACTTTCTTTTGTGGTAGTGTTGTTGATTTACGTGACTACTTTCTTTTGTGGCGGTGTTGTTGATTTACGTGACTACTTTCTTTTGTGACGGTGTTGTTGATTTACGTGACTACTTTCTTTTGTGACGGTGTTGTTGATTTACGTGACTACTTTCTTTTGTGGTGGTGTTGTTGATTTACGTGACTACTTTCTTTTGTGGTGGTGTTGTTGATTTACGTGACTACTTTCTTTTGTGACGGTGTTGTTGATTTACGTGACTACTTTCTTTTGTGACGGTGTTGTTGATTTACGTGACTACTTTCTTTTGTGGTGGTGTTGTTGATTTACGTGACTACTTTCTTTTGTGGTGGTGTTGTTGATTTACGTGACTACTTTCTTTTGTGACGGTGTTGTTGATTTACGTGACTACTTTCTTTTGTGGTGGTGTTGTTGATTTACATGACTACTTTCTTTTGTGGTGGTGTTGTTGATTTACGTGACTACTTTCTTTTGTGGTGGTGTTGTTGATTTACGTGACTACTTTCTTTTGTGGTAGTGTTGTTGATTTACATGACTACTTTCTTTTGTGGTAGTGTTGTTGATTTACGTGACTACTTTCTTTTGTGACGGTGTTGTTGATTTACGTGACTACTTTCTTTTGTGACGGTGTTGTTGATTTACGTGACTACTTTCTTTTGTGGCGGTGTTGTTGATTTACGTGACTACTTTCTTTTGTGACGGTGTTGTTGATTTACGTGACTACTTTCTTTTGTGGCAGTGTTGTTGATTTACGTGACTACTTTCTTTTGTGGCGGTGTTGTTGATTTACGTGACTACTTTCTTTTGTGGTAGTGTTGTTGATTTACGTGACTACTTTCTTTTGTAACGGTGTTGTTGATTTACGTGACTACTTTCTTTTGTGGTAGTGTTGTTGATTTACGTGACTACTTTCTTTTGTAACGGTGTTGTTGATTTACGTGACTACTTTCTTTTGTGACGGTGTTGTTGATTTACGTGACTATTTTCTTTTGTGGCGGTGTTGTTGATTTACGTGACTACTTTCTTTTGTGGCGGTGTTGTTGATTTACGTGACTACTTTCTTTTGTGACGGTGTTGTTGATTTACGTGACTACTTTCTTTTGTGACGGTGTTGTTGATTTACGTGACTACTTTCTTTTGTGGTAGTGTTGTTGATTTACGTGACTACTTTCTTTTGTGACGGTGTTGTTGATTTACGTGACTACTTTCTTTTGTGACGGTGTTGTTGATTTACGTGACTACTTTCTTTTGTGGTGGTGTTGTTGATTTACGTGACTACTTTCTTTTGTGGTGGTGTTGTTGATTTACGTGACTACTTTCTTTTGTGACGGTGTTGTTGATTTACGTGACTACTTTCTTTTGTGGTGGTGTTGTTGATTTACATGACTACTTTCTTTTGTGGTGGTGTTGTTGATTTACGTGACTACTTTCTTTTGTGGCGGTGTTGTTGATTTACGTGACTACTTTCTTTTGTGGTGGTGTTGTTGATTTACGTGACTACTTTCTTTTGTGACGGTGTTGTTGATTTACGTGACTACTTTCTTTTGTGGTAGTGTTGTTGATTTACATGACTACTTTCTTTTGTGGCGGTGTTGTTGATTTACGTGACTACTTTCTTTTGTGACGGTGTTGTTGATTTACGTGACTACTTTCTTTTGTGACGGTGTTGTTGATTTACGTGACTACTTTCTTTTGTGGTGGTGTTGTTGATTTACGTGACTACTTTCTTTTGTGGTGGTGTTGTTGATTTACGTGACTACTTTCTTTTGTGAC